TCATTAAAAAAATGTTGCGCAAATATATCTCAAAACTCAGACTAATGAAACGTTACTTTATTCAAAAAAGTTCGAAAACCTACTGTCAACGATCAACGCTTTGCAACATTCGTTAAGGCAACTCCAGAGGAGAGCGCCTGAAAGTATTCATTAATAAAGATGGTGGCTGCATTAGTCAGTTATAATCCTGAGCAAACGCCCTTCTCTCTTTTATTACAGCAAGTTATTGCGGGTAAAATATTTTGCAACTCTCCTCATACTCAGTAGGTTACAAAGCAAGGCAGGGGTTTGAAAAGGTGAAACTCTTTATTTATCTGCCGTTTAATCTGCGCTGTATTCTATACCTTGAATCGGAGCTTACCTGCATCATCTTGTTGTAAAGACTACAAAGCCAATACCTATGTGCTTGTAAAACGTGCTTATTCACAAAGTTCCTGCTTTTCCGCCAAAAATGATCTTTAAAGTTTTGTTTGAACTATCGCTACATCTTACACTCGACCACTCTGGAACGAGCAATTCAACAGCGAATCGCACAGGATTACAGAATTCACAGAAATTCCTACAATATTCTCACTAAAATGCTACCTTTTTACACTGTTGTAAAACAATAAAAAGTTAATGACGCACTGTGGTAAAGTAAAAAATCAAGATCAAAATAAGCGCTTAGACTGTGTTGCCCAGTATTACCAATGAACCATCACGGCACATCAACATTCGTAGGAAAGCGAAAGTTTGCAGTGGGATGACATGAACCCTACATACATATAGTCAGTAACACTGCTTAGCAAATTAAGTTCACTTTGAAGCAAATGTATTAACAATCCTTGCGCAGCCTTTTGAAGATGAAGCGTACGCTGATTCTCTTTAGGAGGAAATATTAGCGGTACCTGACAATACGTTTTGGTTTCTTAAAACAGGAGTGTCGAACATGCTTGGAGTCTAGTATCAGCCACAAACATAGGGAAACAAGTTTGGCAGAAGTAAACTATCTGCAATTTATGTCCTTTAAAGGGATTCTGAAACATAATATCTAGCATGGCAAAGGTATGAGTGATAAAAATTTTCCTATTGACCTGATATTATTACATAGTAAGTGCAATGTGCAATATTTTTTTTCCGTTTGACTATGTGACTTTTCATTTTGGCGTAAAGGCTTCCTTAACTAGTAAATTTTAAAGAAAATGTTTTCGAAAGTTTAAGGAGATCAGCACCTACAAAAAGTACACCTATAAACAACTCAATGGTAATTATAGGTGAATGCAAATGTAATAACCTAAAATTTGAAAAATTGTCGAAGTCATCAATCCTTTGAAGAAAACAAAGAATAAGGTTCTTTCCTTTTTAATATAATTTATACAACGCGACAGTTTTGTTCTTACTGTCTGCCATTTCAGACCATGATTACTCTATC